TGGATTTAAATTATTTTTCTACTACATTGAGGTATATCATTAGGTTATTGCTTGGTCTTTTGTTTGTTTGTTAATGGCATTCACGACTATAAATTTCCCTCTTAGGACTGCTTTTATTGTGTCCTATAGGTTCTGCTATGTTGCACAGCACTGTCATTTGGTTTTAGGAACTAATTTCTTCCTTGATTTCTTCTGTGATTCACTGATTATTCAGTGATGCATTGTTTAATTTCCACGTGTTTACATAATTTCTGAGGTTTGTTTTGTCATTGATTCCTAATTTCATTGCAGTTTGATCTGATTCTATGTATGGAGTAATTTTGGTTCTTTTGCATTTGCTTGAACATGCTGTATAGGCTAGCATGTGTTCTGTTTTGGAGTAAGTCCCATGTGCTGCTGAGAAGAACATGAACTTCATTGTTGTATGGGACACTAGATATTTATTAAGTTTATAGGTTTGGTTCAGTTCTGCTATTTCTTTGTTGATTTTTTTTTTGTCTAGTTTATCTGTACATTTGTGAAATGGAGTATTAAGGCCCTATTATAATTGTGCTGTTTATTTAATTTTTATGATCTCTTCCTGTTGAATTATTCTCATAACCAGTGTAGTGTGTGTGTCATATAACATGGAAAGTTTTGATTATGGCTATTTGGTGTTCTGTATGCCTCACTTATCTCTGTTTAATTCATTCCAATATTTGGGAAGTTTTCCACTATCATTTCTGTAAACAGGTATTTTAATACTCTTTGTGCCACCTTCTGCTTTTTCACTTATTCCAGTTAGTATTAGGTTAGGCTCCTTTGCATCATCTAACAGCTGTTGCATCCATTTATCATGTTTTCTTCTTGTTTTAACAGGATTTCTGAGTGATTAGTCTTTGAAAGCATCCCTGTCTTCTAATTTGGTACTCTGTCTTCACATTGGTCACTTTTGCTGCTGCCCATACTAACTTTTGTTGTTTTTGTGGGTTTTTTGTTTTTTGTTTTTGGAGATTGAGCTCACTATATAGTTAAGGCTGAACTTGAACTCACAATGTAACCCAGGTTGGACTTGAACTAATGGCGATCCATCTGCCTCAGCCTCTTCTGAGTGCTGTAATTACAACTGTGCATTACCATGACTGGCTCCTGAGTTTCAGAGTAATTACTAAATCTCTTGGCTTTCTGTTTAGAACCGTTTCATGAACTGTAATCCTTTGTTAAACTGGTCCTTCGTGTTTTGTGTCATTTTGTTTAGCTCAGCTAGCTTTTTACTAGCATCTTGTTTTAGCTCCCTGATTGTTTTATTACCTCCATTATTTGTTTAGTTATTTTTTGTGAGCCCATCAATACCTTAAATCTGTTATCCTTTCAAAGAATTCTAATATATGTCTTTTGCTTTCCTCTACCTGATGCTTCATGGATCAGCTTTCAGGGAGTTGAAAATTTTGGGAGGCATTTTATTGCCTTGGCTTCCTATATTTCTATTGTTTCATATTTGTTTTTTCATTTTATTCTGTGCCTAAGTATGTAGTTAGTTATAGTGGAAAGACTTTGTTGCTAATATTAACTCTAACTCTTAAGTTAGTCTGCTTTTCAATGATATTCTTAGGGCATGGCTAAATATAGTCCTTTGCCTCTGTCCTACGATCTGATCACCTCTGTTAATGTGAGAGGAAGGAATGCATTTGTAATTGGTAATCCAAGCACTCAAAAGGCTGAAGCAGGAGGATTGCCACAAGTTTTAGACCGTACAAAACAAGGAATGTGCAATGAAAGCTCCAACAGAGAAACACCAAGTCATTTACAAAGGCAGGCATATTAGAATAATAATGGATTTGTTAGCAGAAACTGTAAAGAGGGATAGGAGTGCATGGAATGAGGCATTTCAAGCCTTAAAGGGAAATAAATGCCAACCCAACTTACCATAACTGGCAAAACTGTCTTTCAGAATTGGAGAAATAAAGAACTTTCAAGATACATGTAAACTAAAGGAACTCATAATCACTAAGCCAACATTGTGAAAGACACTTGAAAAGAGTCATATACACAGAAGAGCAAAGTAAACACAACCACAAAAATATGGGAAATAATCTCACTAGAAAAGTAGGGTAACAAATAAGAACCGGGAAGGAGCCAAGCATTAGAAAAACAACATAACAGGAATTAGTACCTACCTTTTAGTTATAACACTGAATATAAATAGTTTAAATTTTCCAAATAAAGAGCACTGACTCATAGATTGGATTTAAAAAAAAACAATAGTAACTGGACCATGGTTGCAGCAACTCAGGCCGTGGCTTCAGAGTACCTAGATGACTTGAACACAGGGAAATACATCCTTTGATGGCCCTGAGTGAGGAGGATGTCTGAGAGCTCTCTTCTCAAACCAAACTCTCCTGAATGAATTCATATTTTGATTCCCTTGCTTGTAACAGTGGAGTCTTTCTGATTCCTGAGATTATCCAAAGATATCTTTCTTGTGCCTTATAAAGTACTTGGTTTCTTTTTAATTGTGCTAGTCTCTTCAGCAACTGTACTTCCTTTGACCTCAATTTTGCTTCTGCTTTTTCTTGGCAAATTAAAATTTTTTCACGCTGTTCTCTGCTTTTTGCTTGTGCTTCTCAGTATAAATTTAGGTAGAAGCCAGTGCCATTCCTGCTATTGCCTGAACACCGGGCTGCCTGGAAATTTCTTTCACCTTATTTATTAGTTGACCATCTTTAAATTCAATCTCCCACACAGTCTCAGAACATGAACAAAATATAGACAGGTTCTTTGCCAGAATGTAACATGAATGGCTCATAGTTCAATTCCCAAGTCTTTATTCTCATTTGAAACTTCATCTGGATATCTTTACTGTATGCATTCCTATCAGCATCGTTGTCTTCTCAGCTCCTACCAGAACTGTCTGTGTACAACACTGCAAGGCCTCTCCATCCCACTTCTCCATATTTCTACTGCAGAGGTTTTTGAACTGCATGATCATAGATAATCACAGCAATGACCCAATTCTTTGGTTCCGATTTTCTTAGCTGGTTACTGTTTCTGCAGCAGGGAGAGAAGATCTGATACCTACAACTTAAAGGAGAGGTTTATTTTGGCTCATAATGGCAGAGGGTGGTGGAGGAAAGATAAACAACTTATGGCAGCTGGGAAGCCGAACAGGTTGGTGAGAGCTAGAGAGGACGAGTCCAGGGACCATGTATAGTCCCCAAGAACACAAACCCATAATCTCTTCATAGCCCATTTACCAGTGATCTCATTGGTGGGCAAATCTGTTGATGAGATTCATGTCCTCACAATCCATTCACCTCCCCAGAATCTCACATTCCAGTCAGGTTGACAGTGTTAACCAGCAAGACCTAATAATTGTTCCTCTGCCAAGTTATTCTTAGCATTTAGAATCTTTGAGCAGATGACTGTATAACACTGACTGTATGCAAGGCCCTCTTCTGGGTACTTGGATGTAGTAAGCACAGTAGTTAAAATCCCTCTCCAAACTAAGTGTGTTGGTACACGCTTATTATCCCAGCATTTAAGAGACTGAAGCTGACAGATTGCAGTGAGTTTGAGGCTAGCCTGGGCTATATATTGAGTTCAAGGCCAGCCTAAAATGCATAGTGAGACCCTGTCTCAAAAAACAAACAAACATCCCTGTCAAATGAGTGACTTTTTGGTAGACTGGCTAGAAATATACCTTGAAATTATCATGATTATTTTTCATGCTCCGTTTTCTTTTGTGACTAGGTTTTAATCTTGTTCACATGACCAGTAGGGAATTTAGATGTGGGTGTCATGCTTGCACTAATAAGTAATACTACATTTCTCAGTCAAATGAGCAAGTCCATTTAGCAGGTCCAAGTATTCCAAAAGTATTATCTTAAGAGCAAACAAATTGAGATTACAAAATAGATTTTCAGAAATCTAAAGAAAAATTTTTGACTGGAATTTGTTTATGTCAAACTGAAACTTTCTTTTTTATTGTTAAGGTATGTCCCCTATTTTAGTCTGACTTATCTGGTTGTTTCTTTAAGTGTTCAGTTAATTATAAGAAGACATTGGTGTTACAGATTCTCTGGGGCTAGGGAGGGCAGACTTTACAGGAAAAAACGCAAAGCATTTACTAGATAAGTATTTGCATGCCACAAGTTCAAGGCCATCCTGGCCTTGAATACATACTGAATTCAAGGTCAATCTGAATTACACAGCAAAACCCTGTCTCAAAAGAACAAACAAAAAGAAAAAAGAATTTGTTATATTTTAATTGCAATAGTACTTTCCTGTAATTTCTGAAGCAATTACTATTAAAGAATAGTTTAATAATGTCTGATTTGAATTTCGTGATCACCTGAATTTTAAAACTATATGGACCATTCAGCTTTCAAAATAGAGATAATGTGACTTAGACCATTAAAAGATTACAAAGATGATAATTATTAGAAAAATGTCAGCAAATATGTATCAAGTGTTTAAGATATTGTACTCACTTTACGTGCAATCTTAGTACACCTACAGTCTTACAAAGTAGTCATCGAGGGGCTGGGGATTTAGCTCAGCGGCATAAGCGCCTGCCTTGCAAGCAGGCAGTCGTGAATTCGATCCCCAGTACCGATAAAAAGACAAAAAAAAAAAAAAAAAAAAGAAACAAAGTAGTCATCATTATTTTACTATAACATTTTATAATAGAGAAATTGGGAGAAGTTGAGGCTTGATCAGTATCGCATAGTTGGTACAGCTTATATTTGAACCAGTGAGTAGGAGGCTAGAGCTCCTAACTATCTCATTATACACCTCTAGAATTGATACATAATTTGGTAGATAACTTGAAAATGTACTACAGATTTTACAGTACTTCAGTGTCCTGAGTACAGTATGTGCAACCTTTCCCTTAAAATAATAATTTATGCTTCACTGTTGTTTATTGTTGAGCTATTCATTTTGGTTATCTTTACGCCTTAATGTTTTTGATACAATCCTTCCAAGGTCTAATTTCTGTTTTCCTTTTTTCTTCTTGACAGCATTGGATTCAAAGGCTAACAATTTGTCCAGTTTGTCCAAGAAATACCGCCAGGATGCGAAGTACTTGAACATGCGTTCCACTTACGCCAAACTCGCAGCTGTAGCTGTATTTTTCATCATGTTAATAGTGTATGTGCGATTCTGGTGGCTGTGAAGTAGTAAATACAGTCACTGGTAAGGGAGAACCTAGAACCTGGCAGGTATATGTTTTCAGGAAGCTGAGCTCACAGGGATATGTATTAGAACCCAAGTGGAACTTCTGCCTCCAAGGACCTTGCAAGAAAAGACACATCCTGAGAATGAAAGATCTTTATTTAATGAAGCTTCACCCTATGTGGAAAGTCTCTTTTGGGGGCAGAGACTTTCTCGGGTGCTAAGCCATATAAGTTAGGGAACAGTAAATTGTTTAGTTTTCTTTTCCTTCCCAGTAAGTTTTTAAAACAGCACTGACTGGGACATTCTGAACCTCTCCTAGAGCCATCAGTGGGATGTAAGGTAACCAACCTGTGCTAGCAGCACTCTGAAATTCCTTCAAAGAAGGCAGCCATTTGGGAAGTTTTTTTACTTTAAGTAACATTCCTTTTATTTGTGAGTTTCAGTAATCTGAGTTTTTGATGGCCTTTCAATCCAGACTCCAAGTATGTGAAGGTTAATTGCTATGCTGCACAGATCCTGTCTGTTGGCCCCTAGAGGAAGCAAACTTTTGTTGTTTTCCTTTTATGATATTTCGCTTATTTTCTAGTTGCTTTAGTGTTAAATGAATTATGTTAAGATGCCTTGAAATTACATAGCACTCTTTGATTTACTATTTGAACATAAAAGACTTACATAGTTTGGAATATTATTAAATTTATTTTACAGCATTTGGTTATAATAATATAAGCGCAGTATAGCATAGTATAGCCAGAGGCCCATGGCTTAACAAAAAGAAAGGCCCAGCCTACAGTTTGTCGTCCCTCTTACTTACCTTATTCACTACAGTTCTCCCCTCTCCTTGTTTCTCTTCTGCAGCAGTTCGCTAACATTTTAAAAATTCCCTTGGCCCAGTAATTTCACATCCCATAAATATCCTCAGGATATTCTCAAATTTTAAAATGGAAAGTGTTCAGTTGTATAGGTATTTAAATTTAAAAATTGCAGATCAGCCACTAAAACTTCTCACTTCGTTTATTTGAGAAGTCTCTGAGAGTACTGCATTCCTATTTCAGTTTATATAAATTCTCCAGAAATGTTCTAGAGATAGTTAATTCATTTGCGGTGGTTGCTACAAATAAAAATACATATAATTATTTTTCTTTTTTGCTCAGGAATAATGGGTATTTCCTTTTTCTTCTGAGATGGAATTTTTTAAATGGGGAGAATAGGGCTTTTGAATACTATCACAAAGGTCTACAGTCTGTATAACCTGTAACTCCTATGCATACCACAAATATTTCTTTACATTGCATAAAGAAGATGAGCAAACTCCTTATGTCTGAACATCTCTGGAAAGATAATTTGTGGCAAGTTTATGACCCAAAGGAATCATCAGAGCTACTGTCCTGATTCCTGGTAGGTAAAACAGTCTTATTTCCTTATAATAAGGCAAGTGGAAATGCTTATTTTTATTCCTTATAATTTGCAAAACTAGAGTAATTATTTTTCATTCTACTATGGGCCTAAAATTTGTTTATTGAGTTTTCTGCATGAAGTCAGAGATTACTTTTTACAGAGAGTAAGTGCTTTTAAGTCCCTAAAATATTTATTCCTTGAGTAATGATACTAAAAATAAAAGTCTTTGACAGGCTGAGAACCTAAATAGTGGTACCATAGCATTTGGTGCATTTGTAGAAGTAAGGGCAGCAGCTCATTGTTGAGAGTTGCATGCTGCAACCCAATGGTCAGCAATGAAATAAATATTTCCAGAATGTTCCCTTCAGTGTGAAGTTTTGTTACCTAGTTTACTTATGTACACACATTATTTATAAATACATTTCTACCTAATTTCATTGGGATAATTAAAAAGAGGAGGTAAATGACAAACAAAAAGTGGTTTAATATTAGGGCAATGGGGAAAAATGAGATAATAGGTACACTTCCTTTTGTTCTTAGTATGAAGCAGTAAGGTATAACTGTATGAAGTATATCGGCAAACCAAACATCTAAAATTGAACATGATAACTACCATATGAATTTATAGCAGCATAGTAAAAAAGGCAGCTTATTTCTGTAGAAAAAGAATGGAACATTCTACAGACAATCAGTGGTATGTGTGAGGCATATAAAAAGAGTGAGTTATATTTTGGAAATGTAATAGCTTAGTTCAGTTTAACTTAGGATAAGTAGAGGTGACCAAGGAGACAGGGAAAACTAGACTGATACTATATAATAAACGGACCTGACTACCATGCTAAGGTGAAGACTTACAGCTTCAGATGGTCATTTGGCTGCAATATAAAAGATGCAATACAGAGAGATAAGATTGAACATAGTGGGCCGGGGATTTAGCTCAGTGGCACAAGTGCCTGACTGAGAAGCATGAGGTCATGGTTTGATCCCTGGTACCAAAAAAAAAAGTTTGAACATAGGGAGATGAGCCAGGTATGATGGCACATACCTATAATACCAACACTCAGAATGCTGAGGCAAGAGGATCACCATGAGTCTGAGGCCTTAACTACAAGAGTGAGTTCAAGGCCAACATGAACTACATAATGAGACCTGTCTCAAAAAATAAAAAAGTAGGTAGGTGAAACTAAGAAACCATCAGACAAAGAATTAAGCAAGCTAGTTTCAAGTGCTTTTCAAGAAAGGACTGATCAGAGGTACCAAATTCTGTTGAGAAGCTTAATTCACTTTGAGCAAACCTTCTAAAGGATGTTCACACTGTTCTATAAATAAAAAACTTAATGACAGTGGAGCTGTGAAAAGAGTTAAGTAATTTGCCCAAAATTACAGAGCTAGAAAGTGATGAGCCAAGATTTGAACCTAGGCAGTTTGACTCCAGAGTCTTTGTTTTTAACCACCATACTATCCAACCAAGCAATCAAATAAAATATGTACTAAAAATATATTGTAATTTAGCAGCCTTAAACTTGATCATGCAGACAGAAGTAATTCTTAGAGGGCTAGTGACAGCCAGATTGCAGTGGGTTGAGGATTGGATCATTAGAATTGAAGACACAGAACTACTCCCAAAGGATCTTTTCTGTTCTTGTGACACTGAACTTCATGGCTTATCTTAATTAAGATATCCCAAATACCAAAGTTTAGAAATATATGGTACATTATACATCATCTAGTCATTTAAACATCTAAGAGTAATTTCTCAACTTTCTGAGAAATCTTTGAAAACCTGATAAAAGGAGTGAAAACCTGATAAAAGGAGTGTGCCTTCCCCGAGAAGTGTTCATGTATACATGCATGCCATGTGTGTACCATTTCAAGCTGTTCAAGGACAACAAAGCCTGCTCATCTAATCATCTCTGGTCCCTCAATTAAGAACTCCAGTTATATAGAATGTGGAACTCAAATTTAAGTACCCAAAGGGCTTGAAAACTCGATTGTGAGTTAGAAATACTCTACAGTTTGAATAGCTTTTTAAATGTGATATACTGAAAAACTGTACAAAAGCATTTGTATCAGATAATATTTTTCAGTACGCATTCAGAGATTTGGTTCTTCTGCAAAAAAATTTTTGGTCTCAGTTCCTTCCAGTCACATTGAAGGAGTTTGAAATTGATATTTTCTACTTTTATCAGAAGTCTTCATTACAAAAGCACATTAAAAAGGAAAGTATGTGATCACTTTTACTCACACAGGATTTAATAAAATATGTATAGTAAAACATCTCGTGATTTAAATTCCCACCTAGTTGAGAATTTTCACCATGGTACTAGGGCTTGAGTATTAGTGGCCACACAAGGCTGACATATTGGAGGATGCAAATTGCAGGATGTATACACTGAATTATTTTTTTAAAAAAATTATGCCCACTATGTTTGGAAATAATTCTTGGAACTGGGGAGGAGGGGACTAAACGGATAGAATGTTATAGGCCTAGTGACAGAATGGAAGAAAGACGAATATTTAAAAGAAATCAGAGCAAAAGAAAAGACTAGTAAGATTATATAGTGAACACTTCAGAGAAGAGAAAGGAAATACAGCAAATGAAGTTTTTGTTGTTTTTGGAGAAATAATCGAAAGGTAAGAGGATAAAGAAGGAAAGGAAGTAAAAGCAAATTAGGAGAAAAAGCATAAAAATCAAATAGTTCAGCGGAATTTAAGTCTGGGAGTGTTTCCAGTTGACCATCATGCCCATGGTTACTCTTACGTTGTATAGATGATATTTAATGTGCTTTTCATATCAACTACTTAATTTTTATATGGAAAAGTGACTTCAGTTTAGTGATTAAATACCTTGACCAACGTACCATATAACACCATGCTAACGTTAATAAAGTGCTCTGAGGCTTAGTTCTAACCTACTGACAGCAGTGTGCACTGCTGACCTGCTCCCAGTTTCTTGTTTGCAGGTTGTGTAGGTGAACGCTGAGGTTTGTTGGACTGGCCAGATAGGGAAGACCAATAAAAGGACAGACAATTATATCTATTTGTATGCCTTTTTTAATCACTTGCATTGATATACAGTGTGTTACTTACACACTTAAAAGTGTAAAATAAAACACTTAGACTTTCTATTGGGTTTTTCTTGATTTTTCCTCATCTTTTTACTCTTTTTCTTGTACATTGCTCAATCTCAGTTTTCCCCAATACCAGCTTGGACTTACAGATATAAAAACTTCTTGCTAAATGTTTTAATATATTAAAAGAAGACACTGAAGGACTTCTAAGCAAAAGTTCAAGAATTTCTGCTATAGCCTACCAACGTTCTATAAATACTGAACTCAGTAGTTTTGTTATAATTACAGTATAGCCTTACTAAAATCATTCACAAAGCTGCATATTTTTACCTATTAGTTGAATATGGTGTATGGGAATTGCTGAAGGATATGGAGATTTATATGAAACAGATGGTTTGTTTATATCACAGCAGGTAAATGGATAGAGCATTGAATTGTGGGTCAAGATCTAGGTCCAGATCACTGCTCTCGTAGGGGGGCTTTAGATAAGTTACTTAGGCATGATGTAGCTTGATGTGTCCACATGTAAAATGGGAATGAAATAAAATCTGCCTGCTTGTTTTAGAGAGGAGAAAAGGAAATAGAAATGCAGTAATAGTTGTGAAGATTTTATAAACCTCCCATATAAGTATCACTATATTATAAATACCACTATAATTAGTTTTTTAAATAAATGATTTTGTACATAGCACTTTACAGGGCCACAGATGGCTCCCTCTATCTATTTGTCATATTGAAGAGTGAGCCCCAGATAGTGAGCTGTATACAGACGCTTTTTTAAAATTATTTATTTATTTATTTATTTATTTTATTTATTGTTTTGGTGCCAGGGATTGAACTCATGACCTCACGTTTGCCAAGCAGGCACTTACACCACTGAGCTAAACCCACAGCCCCTCCACTATAATTATGATGATGATTAACTGCTCAGGGAAAGTATTTGTGACTAGTACAGTTCTACATATTCCCCTAGAAATGAGTACCCAGTTCCACAGTTAGTGTGGCCAGAGCAGTACCCTTGCGGTTATAGTACTAAATGTTTAGGCTCCTTTAGCATGATGCATGTCTCAAGCCATAACTTCATGTTCTCAGGAGAGGGCAGCAAAACACCAGTTCAAAGGCTCTGTTACTTCCTCAAAACTTCCAAAGTTGTTAGGAGGAAAGGATTGTACTACAAACAGAATATTCTTTTTTTACATGATTGTTAAGCCAGGGATGGTGATATATGCCTGTAATCCCAGCCCTCAAGAGGTTAAAGTAGGAGGATTGCCATAAATTCAAGGCCAGCTGAAACTATATAGCGAGACTCTCTCAGAAAACAGAGATCTTTAGATGATACACTAAGCTGTTACAAAAATACCACAGCCACCATTTACTCATTTTGAATAATTTGCTTAAGTCCTGTGAAGAAAATAGTTGTTTAGTCTTATTTTAATGATATTTTTAACCTTTAGAAAGAATTAAAATAATACAGAATTTCAAAACAATAGAGGAGATTAATACTGGTTAATATTGTGCATTGTTATCTTCAAAGTAGTTCTGATTATAAGATGTAGTGTGAAAAAATGATCAATGAAAACACAAACTGTTCTTTTTAATGAATTAAGAGAGTAGTATAGTTTTGTATATTAATATATATACAGACATATAATCTTTCTTTTCTCCTTTTCCTTATCCCAGTTTTTGTTTTGTTTTGTTTTTTGGGGTTTTTTTTTTAGTGGGATCAAACTCAACCTCACACTTGCCAGGCAGGTTCTTATGCCACTGAGCTGAATCCCTGGCCCTGTTTTTCCCTTTTGAGCTTTAATAATTTAACGTACATTCAGAAAGCTTTTGCCATGTTTTCCCATTTTGTCACTTAGCATCAGTTTTATGTAATGGGGGCAAGGCAGTAAGATGAAGTTAAGATTCTTAACCCAATTCTTCCAATTTAGGATGCCTTGCTAAGTCCAAAAAGTGATTCTCAGTAGCGTCTATACACATCTTTGTGTCATATACAGAAATGTTATTTATATCTAATTTTTTTATTCCATTATTTTAGAATATCCCTGTTCTTTTAAACTTTTAATCTGTGAATCACTTTGTAGTAACATCAGCAATTGACTGATGCTGGTTCTTAATAGCATAAGAGATGTGGTTGAAAAATACAGTGAGGCTTTTGTACAGTAAGACATATTGCCATTAACTCTCAAAAATCCCTCATTTCAAACACTCATGTTTTATTTGCATTGTTGTGACTATCTCAGTGTCTTGAATTGATTCAAAATATTGACCTTTCATGGTCACTTTGACTTTGAGGAAGAGCCTGAAGGTATTTGGTCTCAGACCCACTGAATAAGGTAGATAAAGACACCATAGCCTGGTGTGGTGGCTCACACCTGTAATCCCAGCACTCGGGGAGGCTGAGGCAAGAGGATCATTGAGAGTTCAAGACGAGTCTGAGCTACAAAACGAGCTCGAGGGCAGCGTGAACTGCATAGTGAGACCTTGTCTCATACACATACACACAAAACACACACACACAAAAGACACTGTAATATATTTATGAGCCTATCTTTAAGTTGGATGATACTTGACGGGAGCTTTCACCATTTTTTTTTTTACATCTTGTTTTAAAAAGTGGAGAGAATGAGGGACTGTGTGTATTCAAGATAAAGGGAATATTTTGAGAATAAATGGTAATGTGTCCTTCGATAATTTTTCATCCAAATTTTCACTCTCTATAATTATACTGTGTATCAGTTACTTTCAGACAATTTGATCCTCACTACAGCCCTGTGAGGTTAACAGCCACTATCCCAGTTTTTGGGATAAATTTTCTCACTTGTAATCAGAATAGCTGCTGTTTGCTTGAAGAGAAAAGTGCAGGGGAATGTCCCATATGTCAGGAGGGCCCCAAGAGAGTAATTTCTACCACTTAATAAGTGCTATAAGAACCACCTCAGTGTTTGATGTTTTTCTGTCTGCTTTATTACAAGAGATGGGATAGAAAGGCTTTCAGTTTTTCAATTCCTTCTGCTTTTGCCAGTTCATTTCTGGCTTTGCTCTTTTGAAAAAAAAAAAATCTACCCTGTTTTCCATTCCACCCCCCCTTACCAACGCCCCCAAGTCAGAGTCCTCTTTCCATTCCAGCTAACCCTCTTCCTGTTCTTGAGAATTACATCACATTCTTGGCTTCATGTAGACCAACACCCCCACACTGGCACCAGGGAACATATAGACTTACTTTATTGGTTGAATGTGTTCTTGACTGGTGAGCACAGAATAAGTCACTTCCTGACCTCTAGCCCTGACAAAAAAAGAAAAGAAAAACATTTCTCAGATTTTTGTTTATTTATAAATCTCCTTTACTCTAGCCTTGTTCAGAAATAAAAAGTGTATCAAGTAGGGACAGTGTGAAAGGGCATTTAGAATACAGGGTATATACTAATGCACCTTGCTGAATGGTCTCCTTTGCTGTTTCTAATTCTTCATTCCTGGTTCATTTTTCAACCTAATATAATCAGGCATTGACACTCATTCTTTTGAAAAGCCTTTCATTAAGGACATTAATGCCACCCACTCCTATATTACTAAATTCAGTTGATAGACCAGTCTTCATCTGATACCTGAGCACCATTTTAATGCTACTGATCACACCCTCCTTGATAATTCATTGTATTCCTTTGGTTTCCATGCACTATTTTTTTCTGCCTTAGCCATGGATCTTCGCTATCCTTTGCAAAATTTTTTCTCTGTATACCTAGAAAATGTTGAAATCCTCCCACCCTGTTCTGTGTTGCCTCTTTTCCCTGACATTCTCTGTGAGGAGTCTCATCCTTTTCCATGGCATTGTGAGTGAGACCTTCATGCAATGACATCAAAGTCTGTGCCTCCCTAAACTCCAGTTCATATATTCAAGCACTTCCTGGAGTTTCAATTAGGAATTCCTGAAACCATATTAACCAGCTTATTTCTTCAAACCTATTTTTCGGGTAAGCATATCCAGTATATGCCAGAACACAGTTCACCTAGCTGCAATGGCCAGAAACCTAGGATTCATCTTTGATTGCTCTTGTTCACTCTCCATACCCAGTCGACAACCAACCTAATAAAGTCTCCTTTAAATCTGTCTGTTCTCCATTCTCATTGTCACCAACTAACCTAAATGATCACCACCTATGTGAGTTTTTATACTTTCTTTTGTTAGCCACCTGCTCGCCACTTTTCTCCCCTTTGGTCATTTCCTACCAGCAATCAGGATATTCTTTATTTAAATACAGTTTTGATAAATTTATCCCTGCTTTTAAAACCTTTTAGTTGCTTGTTAATATCCTTGGAACAGAGTCCAAACGTCTTACCATGGTTCATAAGCTTCTCATGATCAGCAACCTGCCAAAGATCTCTAGTCACACATAGTAGTCTGTAGTGGTTCAGTGCACCCTGCTTCCTCTAGTTTCTGGGCATTCACAAATGCTGTTGCTTTTGGCTGGAGTATTCTACTACAGGGCCTCAAATGTATCCAGGCTGATTTCTGCCTCAGATTGTCATTTTATTCCTCAATGAGAACTGAACCTAGGTACTAAATTTTTAACTAATTCTTGAACTAAAACCATGAAAATACATTTGAACTATTTAACTGGGGATTGACTTACAATGACTAAATGTAAACTATAACATGCCTTTTAAAATTCTACTGTAATATTTTCTTGACTGTTATTCATCATGACATTTTGTCTTTGGAATTTTTCTTCATTTTCATCTAGCTTTTCCCACTCTCTTTTCTTACCTTTCAACCTATATCCTCTGGTTGCCCTACACTTGCCCTTAGATAGATTCAGCTTGCATACTTAGTAGCTGTTCTGAGGCTGTGGTTAATTACAACTGTTCAGACTGCAACAGGAAGGCATTAAATCGAAAGCAAGGGGGAGGAAGTACAAACCAATACCCACCACAAAGCTGCTGAGTGCCCAGCATGACCCAAGTCACACCCTCCAGTGGAGTCCGAGTGGAGAAGTAAGAAGCCATGGAGTTTAATACATTGTCAGTGCAGCCTAATCACCCACTCCCCATGATCCTGCCTTCCAGGGTCACCATGCATATCATCAGGCAGCAACCTAAGGAGTACATGCTAACCAAAAAGCTACTAGAAATGTAGAGGCTGAGGGAAGAACCCCCAAGGTGAAGTAAAGTCATCGTAACTCCATATTCCTGAACTCTGAACATAGAGTGTTTCTTAGGAGCTCCCTGTGTGTGATAATTCCCAGATAAATGTTCCTGTGTTCCTCAAAAATACCTTTGCCAGCGGCCTGAAAATCTGTTTTTAAAAGTGGCCAAAAGTTTCATTTTATAACCCGACAGGAAACATTTTCATTAGCTTTACAAATTTTGCCATTGCCTGCATGCATACATTTTGTTTGTTTTAACATGGGCTCTTCCAAATTGCTAAATTGCCCAAAGTAGACTTAAATTTGCAGTTGTCCTATCTCAGCCTCCCAAAGTGCTGAGATTACAAGCATGTGTCACCATGCCCAGCTTGCCCCCACCACCTTTTTTTTTTTAATCAAAGGAGATACTAGTCCCTTCCAGTTGAATTATAGGAGATGAAATAAAAATGCAGGACAATATGTAGTCTAGATTTTTAACACATGGAAGATTGAGAACTCCCCATTGTAGAGCCTCACAAGTGGTTATATAATTCACTCCCCCAAGGTCACTACATCAAAATCTAAGGAGATGAGAGCTAGATACTACTGCATGGCTAGGAAGTTAGAACATACAGAACAGTCAACCATTTCACTCTGGAGAAAAGGCTGCTTTACTTGCCTGGAAGTGGGCACTTGGGTTATCACAGAATGCCAACCTCACACTTAAGATAACAGAACAGGAAATACTGTTTGTGCAGCTGGGCGGGGAGGGAGAACTTACTGTGTACCCAAGCCCATTAAGTTCCTCACTCACCTCTTTGCATCACATTTCTGTCCTGTAAGTGACCAGCACTGACACTAGGGAGTATTGAGAAACAGATGAAGCTTCCCTTCAGACCCACCCTCTTCCCTAGCAGCATTCTCTCCTGTCACAGTCAGCTTCTGTGGTCTCCTCAGCCCAGCTCTCCCAAGGTCTAGATCATAGCTGAAGTTTAAATGGAGAAATTTTAGGCATTGTGAACGAAAGGTGAGGGACACAATTCTGTAGAAGAGAGGAACGTTCTTTTGTCACAGCCCTCTCTTCACAAGTGGTAAAAGCGCACTCTTGGTTTTAGTAACCCCAGGAGCAGTGAATTGAAAAGGATCTAATAAATGAGGAAGAACGGAATTCGTGAGCAAGTAACTTTGATTTTTAAAACGTTTATTCCTTCCTTTCCATATCTCCCTCCCTCACATCCTCGTCTCCCATCCTCCCTTTTTTGCTTCCTCCCTGTCCCCCTCCTTCCCTTTCTGCCTGTCTCCCCTTCAGAGAGGAAGGAGTGGAATAGGAAGCACAGAGGAATGTGCAAGTTTCCCAAGTCTAGATGCCTGTCAGAGTTTGCCTATTTCTTCAGTGGTCAAGGACATTCAAGCTGTGTGTAATAAATATGCATGTTCCAAACTACAGGAGTTGCATGACTGCACTCCCAGGTCTGCTCTTTCACCTTGTGACCTGAGTACATTACATTCTTTTAACAAGGAAAGTTAACAATATGACTACAGAGAAAAACTAGAGAGAGTAAACTACTCTTTGAAAAACCTTAATTATGAAAAAGGGAGTGGTTGGCTAGTGAGCATGTTCAGTAATGAGTGGATTTCATTTTAAAGAGTGGTTTGAGTACTGTATGTTTACTTAAAGAGAGTCAACACAGTGAAAGATCTTAAGTTACCTCATATCTAAGCTTTCATACCCTCATCTGGAGATGGAGAAGTTTCTGTGAAGATTAAAATTAAAAGCAAATACACAGTAGTAACTTGTATTCTGCAAAGGCTTTTACACATTTATGTTAAATTTTGTAACTGTTACTATCTAGTGAGTCTACAGATGAGTAAGCTCTCATCACAGCTGTTGTGTCTCTGTTCTATCCAACATGACTGGACTGTCAGCAGTGGGCTTGGGTGGGAGGGACTAAGGCATATAAGGAAGAGCCTAAAGGTGGTACGATTTATATCTCGACATGCTTCCAATTTTCAGAGGATGGTGATGATAATGTGTGTGTGTCTTACTAAATATGTTGACTTACTACTGTATTATTTAATTTGTCCTGTATTTTTATTTTTAAATTTTTATTTAAAACACAGGCACATGTCAGATCTAACATGTCTCAAAAACAAATTTAGGGAATATTAGAAATTGAAAGTTACCCCAGTGAAAAATATCCATCTTGAGCCACAAGGGGCTGTACAAATAAGATCATGCACATGAACTTCTGCATACACAAAGGAGCACTTCCTTAGAAAGTTGCCTACTGTTAATCCACAACTTTACAGAAAAGGTAACACTCGTCTTTTCTGGCTGTTTGCCAAATTGCTGTATCATTTTGCTTGCATATAAACTTGGCAACGGCTCTGATAACTCCTTTTTCCAACTTGCTGCAGGGCTTGCATACCCTTACTAAATGAGTCCTTGAGCTGCACACAGCATTGTTACTCTCAGCACATCAGGGAGGCCTTTCTCCTTTCGACACTGGCTTTGTAGCCTTGTATTGAACCACCCCATTCCCATTCCTACACAGTCACAGTAGAGATATCTGACCACTTCACTCTCCCATTTCTTTTCCTTTTCACACCTGGTTTTCCAATCATGAGATGAATTGTGTCTCTATGTTAGTCTTTAATTCTGGTCTTTAATTTCATTCTCCATTTCTTATTCCATCATCTCCTTCCCTGCCCCGTCTCTGTTTCCAGCTTTTACTACTTATAATTGCTTAGGCCAATCTTGCATCTTGTTCCTTCATGCTGTTCATGAACATATTTTTTTGAGGGCAATGAACCAAAAAATCTGGTGTTTTTCTTTCAAGAATGAACCATAAGCTGCTTTTTAAAAACATATATATTGAGGTATAATTTTATAAAGTTCACATTTCAATTATATAACTAGTTTTTAACATGTTTAGAGTTGTTCATCCATCATCACAATTTGAATATTGTCTTCATTTTTAAGAGAAACTTTGTATCTGTTAGCAGTCACTCATCATTTCCATCCCCCACCTCCTCCTTGGCTGTCCCTAGTCCTAGGCAACCTTATTTTTTTCTGTTTCTATTGATTTGCCTATCCTTGGCATTTTATATGAGACATCATAGAATATGTTGTCTTTTGTGACTTTAATACATATGTGTGTGTATATATATGTATATTTGTGTGTGTGTGTGTGTGTCTTTTTGAAGCAAGGTTTTATTATGCAGTTCACACTGGCCTTGATCTCACCTTTAGTCCAGGCTGGCCTCAGACTCGAAGAAATCTTCCTGCCACGTCCTCCCAAGTGCTGGGATTACAAGCATGTACCACCATGCCTGACCTTAGCATATATTTTTGAAATTCATATATTTTGTAGCATCTATCCACATTCCATTTTTTTTATTGCTAAACAATATCCCATCAGCTGGATATATTGGATTTTGTTTATCCATTCATCAGTTGATAAATGTCTTGGTTGTATCCCTTTTGGGCTATTATGAATAAAGCTTGTATGAATGTTTGTGTGGATATATGTTCCTTGCTCTTGAATAAATACATAAGATTCAAATTGCTGGTTTGTGTGGTAATTTTAGCATTTAGAGGGACAGGCAAACTTTCCCAAAGTGGAAGCACCATTTTACTTTCCCACCAAAAGCATATGAAGTTTCCAGTTTCTCCACATCTTTAACAGTTGTTAATCTCTTTGGCTTTTATTACAGCTGTCATAATGGGTGAAAAATGCTATCTCATTACATTTACTGAATGACTTTTCACGTGCTTATTAAAAGTGTATAATTTATTTAGAAAATAAATTGTAACCTTTTGTTTATTTCATTTGTTAGTTTTGAGGTGTTGGGGATTCAAAGCCTCAAGCCTCAAGCATGCTAACCAAAGCACTGTACCACTGAACTGTATCTCTAAGCCAGTTACCCATTTTTAACTTAATTATTTGCATTTTTATTATTGAGTTTGTTTTTATGTTCTAAGTGGAGGTCCTTTATCAGACATGTAGTTTTGAAATGTTTTCTTCTACGAGTCTTCTCTTCCCTTTCTTGATGGTCTTCTTAAAACAAAATTTTTTGATTTTAGCAAATCTACTCTTTTTCTTCTATCACTTATGCTTTTGGTGTTGCATCTAAGAAATCACTGTCCACCTCAAGATCACAAAGACTTATTACCTAACCCAAAGCTACAAAGATTTAATGTTCTTCTAGAAGTTTAATAGTTTTAGCTTCTACTTTTAGGACTATGATTCACTTGTAGTGAATTATTTTTTGTATATTAAACAGCAGTCCAACTTGATTCTTTTGTATAAATGTGTATACATTTGTCCCAGCACAGTGAAAAGGTCCCCTGATTGATGTGCTTTGAAATTTTGTTGTATTTTTTCTTCTCCTTTTTTTTCCCTTTCTTTGTATGTTTGAATAAAATGGATTTTAAAAAGTTGAAAGGGTCATTTTTCCCTCATCAAATTGTCATAGCTTCTTTATCAAAAAGCAATTGACTAAAACTTTGTGATAGTCAAGTTTGTGATTCTTAATTTTGTTCTGTTGATCTGTGTCTATCAGCATCATGCTATCTTGACTACTGTAGTTTTGTAGTACATTTTGAATCCAGGAACTATGAGTTCACCAAATTTGTTCTTTTTCAAGATTTTTTGGCTATTTTGAGTCCCTTGCATTTCTGTATGAATTTCAGAGTAAGCATAAAAGGGTAAGTGGATCCTAAAATGCATGAGAATGCCCTCCCTTCTAATAAACAGTTGAAATATTTTCTTTCATACCTAGGGTAAAATTGGATAAAGCAGTGTTGAGTAGTTATATTTTGTAGTTAAGTGAGGATGGGTCCTTTGAAAAGAGGAGCACACTAATGAAAGAAGGGAAGGATGGGAATAAAGGAGCCAAAAAGTTTGGTAAACTTTCCATTCTGGTGAGAAGAATGTTTGTTCTGAGGAAGAGGCACTTTGATCTAGCACCAGGGGATATTGTGAAAGATAATTGAAATTGCAAAGCCCATTGATCTCCCCAGAAGGAAAAAAAAAAAAAAAAGATCTCTAAGCAGCATTGTTAGTTTGTTGATTCTTACAGAAGATCCTCATTCAATCATAGGAACCAGCTGGCCCTTTCTCAGGGGTAAAAGGCGAGGAAAAGAAAGAAGGAAGAGAAGAAATGCCTCCCTTGCTCCAGTACTGCAGATTGCCTACCTCTCTGAGGACAACCTAACCTTTATCCATCTTTGTTACCCGTCTCCTTTGCAAGTTCTCCAAAAAGAGAGAAGAAAAAGAAAGGAAAACCATAGTAGGAGAGAGGGTTAAAAGATACTGCGGATAGAACAGGAACTCTGGAGCATTTAAAATCAAAGTTTCCAAATTACTCCTGGGGGAGCCTGTTATATACAGTAAGATGACTTACGGAGCAAGAGTCGTAAGGGTGACCACATTTGGTTTAGTAATTGTCCTGGGAATTTATCCTAAGGAGCTAAAACATGCCAAAGTATTCATGTCAATGTCAAATGAGCGTGTTGTCTGTAATAGTACAAATAGATAAATCTCCAAATAGGGGCTTGTTTTGTGATACCATGTAAAGACGGTAGAGTATCAGAATGGCATCACTGTGACAATGCACGTTGAATTGAGGCCTTTTCATTGCCTTTTCTGCAACTCCAGGTTGCCATTGTCTCACAGAAGCTGTTGCAGTCTTTCCAACCGTAGTTTCACCCTGCTTCCCCATACCCAGTCTGATCATACACTGCCCACTTCATAATCCTTCAAAAAACTTAAATGTGACCACTTTGTACGCGGAAGTGTCAGTGGCTCCCCCTCCCATTTAGTCTTCTGTTCATTTCAGTCCTGCATCCTCTGGTGTCCGTTACCTCTCTGACCTCATCTGATAGTAATTTTGCTCATGCACTCTCCACTTTGGACACGCAGGCCTCCTCCTATCCCAGTGACTTTAAACTCACTCTTTCCCCTGGCTCAAACTCTCTTCCAGACAACTGTTTTTTCCCTTGTCATCTTCAGAACTTCACTGAAATGTGGTAGATGACTCTTACCCTAATCATCCTATTTCAAATAGCTGTCTTCACCCAATCCCAATTCCCATCATTCGCTACACCTACACACCTTTGTATTCTTTCACTGCATCTCCCGCTTCATGTGACTTACTGATTTAAATTGTTGTCTGCTCTGCCCTTTGTGACCTGTGTTATATGAGAACAAGGTTTATATATGCGGTTTACTATGATATCCTCAGTTGTGCCTGCAGAGTTTTTAATGAATATTTATTAAATGAATGGATAATAATTATGAAAATCAGGCCATAATTTTTAAGGAAGAAAAGTATATAAATATAAAGAATGATGTGCACAGTGGCTGTGCAGTGTGGTATCCTGCGGTCTGGGAGCTCAGAGGGAAGAGGGTTGAGTTTGACTCCTGACCCAACTGCTTTCTAAACTGTGTGAAGTTAGGCAAATGTCCCTGACTTCTCAGTTTTATCGTCGTTAAACAGATAAAGTGCCTCTCTCATAGTATTGCTGCAAAAACTAAATAAGGACTGTATGCTAATACATGATACATAGTAGGTATTCTGTGAACCTTAAATCTTTCTTCTCCTAAAGAATACATATGCAGTGAATAAAAACTGCAAAAGTGGAAATATACAGATGTTTCAAATAGAAGGCTTATACATTTTTATAATTTATCTGTTTAATATACAAGTCATTCCTAACCATGGGTGCATGTGAAGTCTGATAGACTGGCCCTAAGGAGACCTGTCCCACAGCATCCCTGACCCATACAGACTATGTGACATTAAGCAAGTCCTAACCTCTTTGGACCTCTCTTCTCACTGGTAGAATGCAGAGGTTGACTTTAGTAACTTTTAGCCCCATCAATGCTTATAATTCCATAATGCAAAAAGGCAGGCCGTTCCAGCTGTTTTCACCCCACTGCAGCCCAGCCTTACTCAGATGTGCAGAACAGATGTTTCCAGTGTAGGTATAAAAGGCTCTGTTCTTTGGTATTTAGAGGCCAAAGAAAACTGGGGAATTTAGAAAAGTACTAAGCAGACAAGATTTTCTTCTCTCTGATTCTTAAGTAGCTACATGGATATTGTTCAAACTTAAGAAAATGTGAAAAGGGAAACAAATACTATCCACCTTTGCATTTGAATAAACTATGTGGATCTTTAGCCATGAAGGAAAATGTGTTTTGTTTTTTGAGTAACAACTAAAAAATAGATGTCAGCAGTTCTCAGTTGTAACTGTAACCTTGAACCCACATGGCAGCCAGCCGAAGCAGCACAGGAGTGAATGGCTGGAAGGGAAAGTGGCTGGAGCCTACCCTTGCTCTGGAAAGCTCCCTGGCTTTGTCTTCTTCACAGTACCAAGGAGGAGGATGTTTGGGTTTGCAGGCCGCTGGCGGCTACCCGTCAGCAAGTTTGCAGCCCTGGGTTGACTTCCCTTAAAGTAGTGGGGGATGGAGGTGTCAGCTGCCCTGGCTTTCCTCCAGCAACTGAGCAATAGAAGATTCAAATACCCCATCAGCTGCAAGGCCCTGACTTTACCCAGATGAAAACTGACGATCTCATCTGGGAAGGGTCAGTTAAAAATGACAGAACTGCCCAAAATAAACAGAGGGAACAACCACAACAGAAACTTTCTCTGCAATGTTTCTTTATAATTACCAGCCCGTCCCACTAGGGCTGTGGCTTAAGTCCCCATCCAACCTCTCTGTTGCTTCCACCAGGCCTTAAGTAAGCCCTTGCTGACCAGAAGCCTCCTCCTTATACACACGCATCTGTTCTGCCCTTTCCCCAGAGTACAGGAACACTCCAAACTGCAGAAAATTTTGCAACTGAAGTCTGAAGACTGTCAGGGAAAAGGACTTTTTATAGCTCACTTATTAGGGTCCTCTGATGGATGAGTAAACACAGCCTAAGCGATGTGTCCAAAGTCAAGAGCGAGTCTGAGCAGAACTAGTTTCCATCTTCCTGACACGGGGCTCTTTCCAGACTGCCATAGATTGCTGCAAGAGACTAAAAATAAGGAAATTAATTTTGAAGTTCTCTTTCTCCACTTTTTTATTCTAACCAAATCCTACCCTGTTGATTTTTACAGAAAACAGATTTTAAATTTATTTTTTAAATTAAGTTTATTGTTACATTTTAGGTATACATAAAGATCACATTCATCGTAGGGAATTTGTAACTGTACATGATATACTTTGGTTCTTTTTTTCCTATTCCTCTTTCCTCCCTTTGACCCCTTTCCCCCTCCTTATTTACAGAAGCTTTGTTTCCGTGTTTTCCTTCTTTTCTCATTTTTTTCTTTTTCTTCCTTTCCTTCTTCCCCCTCCGTAGTTTCTCTTCCCATTTGAACATTTTCTTCCTAATTCCAAATATCTATTATGCATTTTGATCTTATTTACACTTTTGGTTATATTCTTAATTTAGATTTGAGCTCTCAGAAGGCTAATGCAGGAGGATCTCTACAAGTTTGAGGCCAGCCTAAGCTAAGCTACATAGTGAGCTCCACCTGAAAAGTGAAGGAAAGGAAGGAAGAAAGAGAGAGAGAGAGAGAGAGAGAGAGAGAGAGAGAGAGAGAGAGAGAGAGAGAAACAGACATAAGGACAGAACTCTATTTCACTTGAGTTCTCAAGGTGTGGTCATGTTATCTATTTGCTCCTCTCTAGGATTTCAAGGTCAACAACCAAGTGGAGTGAGGAGGACAAGGGCTTATTAGCCCAGCAAGAAAGCCTCAAAATCCTGTCTCTACACATTATAGCTGTGTGAACTTGTATAAGCCAATTATGTACTCTGAGACTTTACATCTGTAAAACGCGATCGTGGCATCTATCTGATTATACTGTTGTGAGGATTTCATGAGATGATTCACATAGTGTACTTATTAGCACAATGAAAAACCCACAAATGTTAGAAATTTTTAATAGTCCTGGAAGACATTCTAATAGTCCTGGAAGACATTTCTTGTTCCCTTTCTGCAGATGAGAAAGTTAAGGTTTAGAGAAATCAAGAGCTGCAGCATACAATTGGGTAGGAAGATAGGCACAACTCAGGACCCCTCCTAACTGCAGTGAGGGCACTCGCTCCCCCACCACTGAGTGTAGACAGTCAAAAGTGGCCAGGGGTCAGTGTGTCCGTCTGCATCATCTCGGGATGGCATGTTATTTATTAAGCCCTTACACACTGTGAATGCCAGGAAATTGATAGCTCTGGGATGAGACGGGTTTTTTTTCTGTGCAGCCTTATGATTAAGCAGCCTTTGTCCAGCCATCAACTAAGGAAATCAAGCCTGGATCTAATCTGTGGCCTGAGACCAAGGGTGCTGGGCGCAGGGGCTAGGTGTGAGGCCTCAAATGCTCTCAGCCTTTTTCCCCCTGTGAATGCTTCCCAGATTCTTTAAGAATGCTGAGCTTTTCTTAGTTGTTGAGCCCTCTCTCTTACGTTACAGTATTTTGGTAGGGGTCTGTGTGACTCCCTGGCAGGAGCAGTGGGCTCCAAAGTGGTATGCCCAAAATGATACATTGAGGTATGAGAAGAAAATATGTAAACATTTGCTTCTGTTTTTAAACTTAAGATACTAAAAACATACCGCTTTACCAATATTTTAATAATAAATACAGTAAAGCATATATAATTTATATGCAGTGATGGGAATGTATGCTCAGTATTTTGTTTTGTTTTGGTCCTGGGATTGAATCCAAGACCAGGAGCATATGAGGCAAGCATTTGTACCACTGAGGTACACACTAGCCCTTTTTTAACAGGGTTTCACTAAGTTGCCTAAATTGAGTTTGAATTTGTGATCCTCCTGCCTCAGCTTCCCAGGTAGCTAGGGTTGCAGAGGTGCACCCAGTTTTGGTTGTTTTGTTTTGCTTTGCTTTGCTTTGCTTTGTTTTTATAGAGTGTTATAGTGAAAAGAATCTACAGGAAAATGTAGAAAGTAAGCTCCCCTGTCCTAGTTTGCATCATACCTCCCTTCCATTATTCGGTACTGACCATTCCCTAACTAAACAAATTTGGCAGCTATGAGAACTTAAGTTTGTTTTTTCCCTCCTTTTGTCGTCCCTCTGATATTATACCATGTCTTGTCCAATATTCTGCCAAGATTTGACCAAATAATAAAGCTGTGTTTGAGAAGTAAAAAGTGCAAATTGCTGTGAAAAGATTGAAAAGTAAAAGACTTGTACACTCCAATAAGATAGTTAATGGTAGTTCATAAGGCATACACTAAATAAAAGAAAAAGCAAGAGTAAAACTTCAGGGAACAACTCAGACAACAGTAGAATAGAGCTCTGTTATCTGAGAAACCAAATGTAGTCACGCAAACTGAGCACTGCCTCTTACTCTGAAATTGGCACAAAACAATTCAACACGAAACAGTGAGGCAGGTCTTAAAGAAAGAAGTCCCACACCACTATTCTCCTGACGAGGTGATCTTGGACAGTATTCTTACTCTCACTCTCAGAAAAACAATTCCTCACCTACAAATGAAGTTGGAAAAAGTTATTTGGAATTCCCTTCAAGTTCTGAAGCAAACTCAAATGCAGATGAAGTTGGCAGTGTTCTACCTGAAGCAATTTATACTCCAAGTGGTCACTGGACCAAAACATAACACATTATCCCCATGCTTTCCATGGCTCATGACATCCACTGTTTGGGCACTTGGTCTCCTTGCAGGGCCAGCAACTTGTTTCTCTGCAGCCCCCTCAAGTGTCAGCTATGCCCGTGAGGTACATGTAGTACAAAAGCAAGAAAACAGGAGTATATGCATGTTATATATACATGCATGAAGAAATACAAATATATATACATTATGTAGAAATAAGTCTAAATTGTACCCACCATACTAGAAAAGTGGAGATGAGGGCATTTACCATTTACTTTAAATTTTTTGATTTCTTGTTTTTAATAAATTGTTTAGTAGTTAAAATTATTTTTCAAATGAACATTAAAGTTTTGACACCAGCTGCTTCAATAAGAGGATCTACCCGGGTCAAATCTGCATCTTGACTCTACACCAGAGTTTTTGCTACAAAGCTGATGTGGCTTGTGGATTCTGGGCAGGACAGGGAGGCCCTGCTCACAGCACCAGAAACTCAGGATTAGCCCAAGAAAATGAAGTTTTCCCAAATTTAAGTTTGCTTTTCTCCTCAGGGCTTTTGGAATAAATGATCTACAAGAATTTTTTCTACTCTGTAGTCCTACGATTCCAAATAATATTGCATGTAGAAGACCCAGTTAGAGAAAGCAAATATGGAAGTTTCTTATCTTTCCCTCAAGCAAAGTAAACGCTGTCAAATCCCCTCTGTCTAACCTATTTACCTCTCTCTCCTTTCTCCCCAACCTGCTCCAGTGTCTGTTACGGACCCCGATAGGATACACAGACAACCTACGTTAGAAGCTCTAAATGCCAGGTACTAGCGAGCTCAGATAGCAAACACAGCTCTTATCTGTTCTAACAGTGTTAACTGAAATAACCACATTCAGTTTCCAGATGCTATAGTGGTGCCAGATTCTAACAGTGGATACCAGCAACCAGAACTACACTGTCCCCTGTCCCAGTTGTGGTGCCCATGCAGTGGGCCACTGGTGTCTTCATGAATTTGTTTTGACTGCCATCTCCAAACCTGAGTCTCTAGTCCTCCCCCAGAACCTGCAAACTGCTCAACATCCTTTAACCAATTCATCTTATACTTTTATTAACTAGAGTTTGCTTCTGTTGTTTGCAACCAAGACCCCTAATGTAACCATTTTTTTTTAAATCAACAATGTGTACTTGGTTAAAAAGGAATATATATTTTCCCTTCTTTTTTTTTTTTTTTTTTTTTTTGCCTTTCTTTTTCCTAGTCTACTTCTCCATAAGTAGCCATTACTGGTTTTTTATGTATTCCTCCAGAGATACTCGATGTGCTATTGGTATATTTAAGAAAAAACATGTTAGCCAGTCATGGAGGCACACACCTGTAATCCCAGAACTCAGAAGGCTAAGGCAGGAGGACTGCTAGCCTGAGCTAGAGTGAGATGAAGGCCATCCTGAACTATGTATCAAGACCCTGACTCAAACAAAGAAAAAATAGCATACACAAAGGGGTTGTTTTGGTTACTTTTCTCTCATTGCTGAGACAAAATACCTGACACCCAAAATTAGGGAAGTAAAAGTTTATTTAGCTCACAGTTTATGGAGGCTTCAGTCCATATTCAGCTAGTTCCAATGCAAGGTGGCGTGGTAGGGCAGCCATTCATGGCCACTGCAAACAGCAAGAGCTAACAGAGCAAAAAGAGGAAAGACATGCCTTCTTCCCGCCCCCACATTGCATGTTGGCTCCACCCCTGGGCGAGTGTAGCACTCACATTACTAATTCCAGTGCCAGACAGCAAACCAATCATGAACATCTGACTCAACTTTGTCCATGATTGCATGAGACTTGGGGGGCCATCTGAACCCAAACCATAATGGGTCATTCCACACACATTGTCCCATGCTCACTTTTAAGTGGAATTAGCACATTTGGAAATAATTTCATTAATACATACCTGCCTTTTTAAAATGCTGCTTAGTATTCCTTTGAATGAGTACACTATAATCTATGTAGTCAAGCCACTACTAAGAGCAGTTGAGCTGCTTAGTGTTTTGACTATCAATAATTCTGCAATGAATGTTTTTATAAATATCTTAAAGCCCAATGTAAGCCAATTCATAGAATAAATGTCTAGTGATGCAATTGCTGGATCAGAGTATAACTTCATAATTTTGACAAGTAGTACCAAACTGCACTGCAGTTTTTAACCATATTGAAATGTTTCAAAGTCCCTTTTATCTCTAGATACTCACCCTACCAGTAATCAGATTTTCCTAAAGTTGCATTGCTTTGATTTTTATTCTTTAAGTTATGAGTGAGATTGAACATGTTGTATGTATCTAAAAGTCATTTTCATTTATTCATCTATGTGTTCTACTTAGGCCCTTTGTTGTTTTCTATCTCATTTTATCTTGCTCTTATTGCAATTGCTTAGCTCCATATTTAATGAAACTAGCCTTTTATCATACTTCTGATATTTTTCCTTCATTTATTCTTGATTTAGGACCTTCTTTATTTTATATGTCTTTTGTTCTTTGCCCTGCATAAATTTTTAATTTCAGGGTGATAAGATTGTTCTGTGTTTTTACATGTAGCTTTCTTTTGCTTAGGATGGCTTTGGGTCAGGAAGCTTTGTGTGTTCCCAGCATTGAATCTACTAATATTGAGATTAGAGCTACACTTGAGACCTCTGGTTAGAGACAGCAGCTTCAACACATGTATTGTGTTCTGATTCCTTCTGGAATTCAACTATTGATCGAGTAATACATTCATATGGTTTTAAAGCCAAGAAAAAGAGGCACAGACCAAAAAGTTTCTCTCATCCATGTCTCCCACTGGTCCAGTTCCACTTTCTTCCAGTCAATAAGTAAGCATTGTCACTAGATTTTCTGTCTTTCCAGAGTTTCTTTATACTTATGTAAGCAAATAAGAATGTAGAAAAATGAATTTCTTTTTTGTTTTTCTTTGTATGTTTGTGTGTGTGTGTGAGCACACACATGTGTGATACTGAGGATAAATCCACGGCCTCCCCTGGACTACTTCCCCAATTCTTCTTAATTTTAAAACAGAGTCTCAATAAATTGCCCAGGCTGGGCTTGAACTTGTGACCCTCCTGCTTTAGCCTCCCAGGGTGCTGGGATTACAAATTTACATCACATCTGGTTTAGAAAAATGAATTTTTTAAAGTATAATCTTACAAAGACCAAGAAATAAATATTCAAGAGGCGGCAGAAAGGTAATTTAAAAAGTGGATCTAGATGAATAAATAAATGGTAAGTGGATTAAGAGATCTGAACAAGCTGAATCCTATAGCATCAGATGAGAAAGTAAGTGGGGGAAATATTCAGAGTCCAGCAGATCACTCAGCAAGTGGTGAACCAAGGACCTTGGGAAGTGTGGGTAAGATTGCAGTTAAAGCCTGGGAATGCACTGGCCACTGCCAGAGGGGACAACGAGATCCAAGACTTTCCCCATGAGTCAGTGCCATTTGCAGAGACTGTGGGGAGGAGAGAACAAGGCCACATCAGGAAGCAAGCCCTACATGGAAACCAGCACCATGAGGGGACTACTGCAGGAGTGGGGACAGCCAGACCCCAGCCCCTTTCGCTACAAGAGGTACCAAATACCCCTCCCCTTCCTCCACCCCCAGTAAGCGACTGGCTGGTCTGGAGAAATACAGACTGTGATGATAGCTATCAATGTAAAATGCAGTTGGATGCCTGTGGTGATCTGGTATTTCACTGATCTTCCAGGTCTAGGGCCAGAGGTCTGATCTTCTGTTCAGAGGATAGCAGTATGCAGTATGGCATCTAGGAGGGATCTCCTTCTGAGGGTGGTAGCCATTGTTGATTCTCTTTTGTCTTGTTTTGAAACCCTATATCATTTTCATTGTTTTGTTGGGTTGGGTTTTATTCTCTTTGTTTTTTTATGTTAAATTTTATGGCATGGGAGGCTGTTTCAAAGATAGCAAGATATATTATGATAGCCATTTTGGATTTGCTATTGTCTTGTTTTGAAATCCTTTATTGCATTCATTGCTTTGTTTTTATTGTTTCTATTCTATTCCATTTTATTTGATTTTTACTATGTCTAAAGGGATCTGCAGCTATTTTGAAGACAACAAAAGGAATTATAGTAACCATGATTGATTTTATAATGTTTTGAAGTCCCGTATCACTTACACTGGTTTGTTTTGATTAGTTTTATTCCATTTTATTTTCCTTGGTTTTGTTCTCTTTAAAATAAAAACTTTAAAAAAAATTTTTTTAAAGAGTGCAGCAAAAAATAGTAGGATGAGTTGAAAGTCAATTAAGGAATCAGGGAGACCCCCAAGCCACTGTCTTTATCCTCATCCTCCAGCCACTGACAGTGGAACTGACCCTTCTCCACAATGATCCAAGGAATGAGAGTTTTCTTCAGTCAGAAAAGTAACATAGAAGGGAAAAGAATAATGTCCTGAAGGGAAACAAAACAAAGCAAAAGAAACAAAAAAACAAGGAGAGTGTATAAAATGACCTAGAGACATTGGAGAGCTCCTGATTTGTCTCTTCTTCTTACCTGTTGAACTCTAAGAGCTGCTTGGAAACTGAAGCAGCCCTCCCTAGGACTCTGACACTATGGAGAGAAATGCTCTGAACATAATTCAGAGCTGGATGTGGTGGCACACATCTGTAATTCTAGCGTTTAGGAGGCTGAGGCAGGAGGATCCTTGAGAGCTCAAGGCCAGCCTGGAGTATGTAACAAGACACTGTATCAAAAACCCAGAAAATCCAAACCAAAACAACAACATCAAGTAGCTATTAGCAATTGGGAGGGTGAGGCAGGAAGACACAAGGAGACCAGCCTATGCAACATAGTAAGTATGAGGCTGACTGGGACTATATAGCAAAATTCTGTTAAACAAACAAAAAAAAAAAAAAAGAAAGAAAGAAAGAAAGAAAGAAAGAAAGAAAGAAAGAAAGAAAGAAAAGAAAAGAGTTATTCAGATCTGAATATACTAATTATGTTAATTACAAAAAATTAAAGCTCTGAAAATGATTTCCACTGTGGATGGGGAAATTGCTGGTTTTATTTTTTTTAATTAGTAATGTAAAAACTTTACGTGACTCAACTATGTCCATATTTAATTTTATATAACTAAGTAAAAATCAGTAATTTTGTCTTTTTCTGATACTTCATAAAAAAATAGGAGGAGGTGAAATGGAAAATGTGCGTTGTTCCTAGCTGATAAGGAACCTGGGAAGGTAAAACTGAAACTTTCTTGTTCCATGAGTCCATCCACCAGCAGGGTGATTGTCTTTCCATCTCCTGTTGAGGCAGAAGAAAAAAAGATATGAGCAGCTGGAAAATTTAGATGTAAAAATCTTTAAAAGAACTGCTGATGCAAAACTGACCTAATACCTCTCTTAATAAGATTTAACTCAAAGAAGAAATCCAAGGTAACTACAAAGAAAGAGATCCATGACGTGCAAACCTAAAATCAGAGTTATATTAACAGCACCTAAGTGTCAGTGGAATGAACTCTTAATTTTATCTGGATATGAATTTTTTTAAACTTTAAAATTTATACTAAATGCCCATTGTTTTAAAATAATTTAAAACACTCTGACTATTTTGATTCATAGTTTTTCTTTTTAAAAACATGTGGAAATGGCTTTGTACAGTCTTTTGATTAACCACATCTACTATCCAAACTGCACTGTTTAGATCTTGGTTCTGTCCAGACAACAGAATCTACCACTTTCTAACTGCAGGCAAAATGCGTGGGAATGAGGCCTCCCCCAGGCCAAATCGGCCCTCGTGTCCTTTTCTGGTTGCAGTCTCTGCCCACTCTGGCCTTCTCACTTCAATCCTAGCCTTTAGCTATCACCCAACTTTCTCTCTTCCTTCATCACAGTTCGGTAGTTCTGAAAAGAACGTTTGCTAACTTCCTTCCCTTCCTTTACTTCCTCACCACATGCCACTTCTGAACCCCTTGCAATCTAGCTTTCATTTTGGCTGTCAGCTTGTACATTGTCTCCAGATTTCAAAGGACTCCTTACTAGCAAGATATATCAGTGCAGGTACAAATTCCCTGTGATGAATGTTACCATTATGTTTATCTAAAATGTACCAATACGTTTTATTCTTCTTACTTGCTAAATTGTTTGGATCTGCTAAGGCCTCACCCTTGTCAACCTTTCAGATTTGACTTCTGAAACATTTAATTCTATCTATCTCTGTGTCTCTCTTAAACCACTGCACCCCCAACACCGCTCTTCTCTGCTGCTCTTCTTTCCTGGTTTGTTTTCTTTCTCTGTCTCTCTGTCTCTGTGTCTCTCTCTCTCTCTGCCTCTCTGTGTCTCTCTTTCCCCTCCCTCTCTCCCCCTCCCTCTCTCCTTCTCTCTCTCTCTCTCTCTCTCTCTCTCTCTCTCTCTCTTTCTCTCTCTCCCTTTCCTTCCCTCTCCTCCTCCTCCTCTTTTTGGCTACCCTTTCCCCTCTTAAAGAACAAGCATTCCACCAAACTAAATTGATTTCCCCAATTTTCTATTTTAGAAATAGTTTTTTTCCTTTGAATTATTCATATGTTTTAAGATTATAGACTTTAATTGTATTTGGATCTTTTTGGAATAATATTTATCTTTTCTAAATATAAGGTCCCTGAGGACAGGAACCCTGTCAGTTTTGTGTAACACTGTGTATTCAGCACTCAGCATAGCCCTTGAAGCACTAGATAAGAAATATTTGTTGAATAAAGTACTTTCATCATGCCAGGCACTGCACTAAGTACTTTACATATGTCACTTCACTTTTATTCCTGCAGTAACCATATGTATAGGTACTGTTGTCA